CTGGGCCAGCTCTTCGGAAGCTTCTTGCAAGTGTTAGGTCGGGCCTGTCCCCCTACAGGGGGATTTTGGACGAAAAATCAAACATAGTCCAAAACTAATCGAAAGATGCAAAAAAACGTTAAAAGTCGTCACCTGACTATTTTTTTGATATCTTTGAAAATTACCCCTGTAGAGGGACAGGCCCGACGTAGTGCAGGTGCCCTGGGCCAGCTTCTGTTGTGCGCGCTGGAGGGGCGAAGGCGCTCCAGAGGCTGGGCCAACCTCCCGGCAAGTTGGGCAAGAGCGCTGGCCCAGAGGAGGAGGAGGAGGAGGAGGAGGAGGAGGAGGAGGAGGAGGAGAATGAGGAGGAGGAGCAGGAGGAGGACGAGGAGGAGGAGGAGGTTTCTCGATCAGATGCTCGACTGCACGGCGCGGTGCGCGCTTCGTCTTCGCCGCGCTCCCTGGAGAGCTGACCGCCCGAGCGAGGGCTGCCTATGGCGCTCTCGCCGCAGCGCCGCGCGCGAGGCCCTTCCGAAGGCCCGTGCGCGGCCCGCGCTCTCTTGATTGCCCCTCGCCGCATCGTCGGAAGCGGGAGGCAAGCGCCCGGGGTCCGCTGGATGGGATCCCCGACCTCGCTTTGCGAGAAAAAAAAACATGATGGGAGGCTACTCGCTAAATCTTCGGCTTCCAGGGGGGCCCTGAGGTCTGGACCCCTTCCCCGGGACTGGCTCTCCATCCCGAGTCGTTTGTCGACGGTCCCGAGGCCCTGCAAGGCCCCCTGGAGGCCGAGAATAGCGAGACACCTCCCGTCGTGTTTGTCACAATTGCGAAGAAATCACGACGTCGGGGGTCTGTCATTCTATCGACCTTGCAGACGTGCTGCAGCGGATTTCTGCGTGGATTTCTGCGTGATTCTTTTTGGTCATCATTCCTGACCAAACAAAATCCGCACGAAATTCACCTCGAAATCCAGAACGAACTTCTCCAGGACACTCGGGGCCTACCCTATCGTTTTCAGAACGAAATCCGCTCTGCGATGTCGGCGCCATGAGGTCCAGTTGGCGATGTTGGCGATAAGGGGGGGGGACGCGTTCCAGTCCCGTTACCAAGCCGTGCCACCACTGATACTTATGGTGCGATATGGGGAGGTCGGGAGATGGGCGGGGGGACCGCTGGCTCGCTCGACCTGGCAGATTTGTCACAGCTAGACGCGAAACGCTTCCTCCTCCTCCTCCTCCTCCTCCTCCTCCTCCTCCTCCTCCTCCTCCTCATAGCTGCCACGGTTGCTCGAGCGATTCAGATGGCAGCAGGCCACACTTTTTTCGCAGCAACCACATCTGGGGGCTTCCTCGCTTTCTGCCTCTGCGCATGCGAGCCGTGGCTGGGCAGTACGAAGGTGCTCGGCTGGAGCCCTCAGAGCACCCGTGGGGATCGGCTCGAGGAGATTGTCTTGGCGTGCAGGTCGTTCGACTTTGTCCTGCTGGGGGGGACGCAGGCATGTGACCGCAAAGCGGAGGAACCCCTGCAGCGCCGAGTTCAAGGGCAGTTGGTCATCGAAAGCGAACTCAGTCCTGGATATTACACTAATAGTAGTACTGGTTGTGCAGTGATTTTTCATCGGGCCTATCGGCTTGGCGATCTGGTTCGAGTGTGGGCGAGTCCGACAGGGGCGGGAGGACGTGCATTGGCAGTAAGAGTGAAGCGCAGCTGCCAAGACTTCTGTCTAGTGGTGCTCTACTTCCCGCCCCAGCCGAGGTGGTCAGCTGAGGTCCCCCACTACCTGGAGACGACGCGTATTCTCGGCAAGTGGCTGGATGAGGTGCTGGGCAGCCTGCCTGTGCGCTGCTGCCCCATCGTGTTCACGGATGCGAATGACGGCATCGGTCTCAGCCGTCAGTCCGCGAAGTGGCAGTACGTCGACGATGGGGTGGTGGCAAAGGAGGCAGCGACACGAGAAACACGACGGTACGGAGCAGGTGAAACCCTTCGGATACAGGCGGCAAAGCACCACTTTCTGGCGGCGAATGCGAGATATGGAGTCTGCCCCACGTACTTCGGCACGAAGGGCGGGAGCTCGATGATCGACTACGTGTTCTTCCCCTTCGGGATGGCGGACGCAATTCAGAAGTGTCACACTCTCAGAGGACTGGGAGCGCAACTACAGGCTTTTAGGGGCCCACCGCCGCAAGATCATATTCCGATCATGCTGCAGGTCTACCTCCCACGTTTCTCGGAGCAGATCCAGCGGGCCCCGAAGCCGGAGTGGGACAGGGACAAAATCATGGACGCGCTACGTGGCGAGGGCGACTTGAAGCGCGATTTCCTACGGCTGGTTTAGGACCGACTGTCTCAGGAGGACCCGCAGTGGACGGATATGCTTCGGTGCGGTGTACCTGATTCCTTCTTCGATTACATGAATCGGGTGCTCATTGAGGCGGGACAACAGATGTTTCGACCAGGACGGCCGCCTCAGCAGCGAGGAGACGCAGAACTCCGACGCGACCTTCTCCGTCGACGAGCGGCACTTCGGGAGGCACTGGCTGGGGTGGCGACAGGTACGACGGCCCCCGTCGGCACGCACTGCTCACCTCCCCTGCCCGTTGGGCCATCGGGGGGCAGAGGGTACCGACCGGCGGGGGTAACGCATCGGAGGATGACGGCGGCGGAGGATGGCTCAACGTCTACACCAGAGACGACGGCGAGGCTAGAGGAGATTCAGGAGCAGCTGCGGGCGGTGGCTCACCGCCTACATCATCATCGACGACAAGAACGAGCAGCGAGGAAGCGATACATGGAAGAAGAGATCGAGACAGCCTGGAGATCCCGCAAACTGGCGCTGGCCATGCGTCTTTCTCGAGAAGCAGGAAGGTGTCGGTTTGGACAGAAGAAGCGGGACGGACGTGCGGTACGGGTGGCTCAACCTACGCGGGAGGAGTGGCTTACGGCATGGCGTCAGGCAGGCAAGGAGGGGGGCATGTCGGCTACGGAGGTGGCAACTCCAGAGCTGATCGAGTCGACGGATGCGCTGCCTGACCTGACCGTTGAGATGGAGGAACGGGCTCGAGCGGACATTAGGCGTGTCTCGTGGGCGGTACAACGTGCAGGACGACGTCGGGCAGTACCTGATCGTTCCCCTCCAGTGGAGCTGTGGCAGTTCTGCTTCCACCCCGAGAAGCGATACGTACGGGGACGCTGGGGTGCGGGGGCTGATGCAGGTATTCCTGACATGGCGAGCTTTACGGAGGCGATGCTGGGAGGTTTTCGCATGATACGCCGAGCCTCACGGACCCCCAGCCACTGGCACCACAACACGGCAGTCGGATTGCGGAAGAGTGGCGCGCCAGGCGTCAAGGGCAAGCGGGTGGTGCATGTCCTCGACCTCATTGGGAAGTGCTTCTACGCAGATATGCTGAAGGTGCCAGCGGACATGGGTGACTACGGCTTCATCAAACATCGGCGACGGGAGGGGGCGATTATGGCGGCTCAGGTGGTGGCGTGGCGCCTGCGGCATTCGTACCACACGTTCTCGGCCAGTCTGAAGGACATGAGCAACGCGTTTGCGTCAGGTTCTCATGAGGAGCTGGATGCTACGGTAGACACGCACGTCGCCAATGAGCTGGACGTGCCGCTCGCGCAGCAAAGATATCATGAGTCACGCATCTGCTTGCCCACATCTGAAGGACCCCCCTTGTGGATCCAACCAGGAGAGGGAGGCACCATGGGGGACCCCTTCGTGGTCACGCTGTTCAGGGGCACGTTTAGCAAGCCAATTTTCTCCTGGAAGTATCGAGAGGCCCACAGTACGTCACGTGCGCTTATAGCAGAATGGAAGGAAATGCGTGTCAACTTGAGCCTCTTCAAATATGCTGATGACATTTGGAATTTCATGGTTGCTGCTCGTTTTCAGAGGATCTCGGAGTTCCTGAAGTGGGTGCGTATGTCGGATGAGATTCTGGAGGAGGAGTTGGAGGAGGTGGGATTCGGGGCCAATCGTAGCAAACAGGTTTCGCTGTTTCACGTCTCGGGAGTAGGAGGCATCAAGGTCAAACGTTGGCTTCGCCACCACGCCGTTCCCATTCTTGGAGGTGAATTGCATGAATCTACGCGGTACCTTGGGCCTTACGTCTCTCTCTCGGGGACTACTGGGCCAGAAGTTGCTCGCCGTAAAGAGGCGGCGTCGTCAGGGTTCTACTCCATGGGAGGCTTCTGGTCCCTCAAGTGCCCCTGGAGATGGACTCGTACTATCCTTATTGGGCTGGTCCAGAATGCGTTATTAAGTGGGCTGGAGGCGATGATGGTGACTCCCCAACAGTATAAGGATCTGGACGCTCATCTTGCCCGATTGTGTCGGGTGCCATTGCAGGGAAGGGGTACTTCGCATGAGGGTGTACACACGACGACCTGGTCGAATGCCCAAGTGCTTCAGTATTGGAAATTGGCGCCGAGTGCAAGAGAGCTGCTCGTGCGGCGCCTGAGCTGGTACCAGCAGATGGCACGTTTTCCTGATAGTCACCAGCAGCTCCTGTGCGCACTGTTCGGTCGTTTGCCGACACTGGAGTTTGACCGTTACAGGCCTGTGGTCGCTGATCGACTGACAAAGCACGCGTCTCCGTGGGCTCGTCGTCTCCAGGAGGATTTTCGGGAGGCCTGGAAGATCTTGGGTGGGGAGGCCATGGTGATGGAAGAGCTCTCCGAGTTCCCCTGCAGGTTCGTGGACCCTGAGGTTGCCCCAGACTTCGTCAATATAGATTTCTCAGTGATTCGTTCGGCCCAGGTCCGAGCGCAAGTTCCTCCGCCAGGCTACCAGCCCCCACGAGAGGTTCCTCCACCAGTCCCTGAGGTCCCACGTGAATGACAGTGTGAGTGGGTGGTGGAGGATGGCAACAGGTGCGAGATGGTCTTTCGTACGAAACGGGATCTACTTAACCATCTTCGTGCTAAACATCATGTCCGTAATGCTGGACACGTTATGTCACCTACTAACGTGTGTGTGGTCTGCCGTACGGTTCTCAGCTCTCGAGTGGTGGCTGGTCGTCATCTTGCTCGCTCGCTGGTTCGGGGATTTTGTCGACCTGATGGGGCTCGGAAGTTTCACCCTCTGGTTCCTCCTGATAGCCTCGCTTGCAGAGTTTGCGGGGTCGAACACGCCGGTCTGGATCATCTCTGTAGCCATCTGGTTCAGCATCTGCCACGCACGGTGCTTCCTCACCGACCTCGCCCTCAGTCGGATCGTCGGCGTCAGCGGCAGTATGGCCCTGGAGGGCACCCCGCCTTGGCTGGCGCTCCCGACGGCAGAGACGAATGGCGCTCCCCCACACAAGAAAGGGCGCAGCGACGACGACAGGGGCAGCGGCGGCACCAAGGGCTTGAAGGAGACAGTGAAGATGGTGGGGCGCCTCGTATTAGCGGATTCACGCGAGATCCAAGAGCTGGCCGCCGTCGTGTTCAAAAAGTTCGAGGCGAAGAAGGGCGGCCTGTCCGAGCAGCAAGAGGCGACGGGCAAGGCGTACGACGCGCAGTCCATCGCCCTGCGCGAGAAGGCCAAAAACGGGGAGCAGGTCGACTACGAGAGCAGGGGGCCGCCGCACGTGGCGATCTTCGCAGCGTCGGTGAAGTGGTGGGGCACGCAGGGCAACCTTACCAAGCAGGAGCTGACCGATGGCTTTGCGAGCCTGTGGAAGGACGTGATCATGCGCTTCACTCCCCAGCAGGTGGCGGCCCCGGTACCATACTTCCGTTGGAAGCCACACAGGGGCAAGCCGAGCAAGGGCAAGGGCAAGAGCAGCAGCGACGACATGCAGGAGGACACGAAGGGCACCGACAAGGGGATTATCATGTACGCAGTGGAGCTCTCTCACGCGAACGGCCCGAAGCTGTCGATGCTGCTGGCCGAAGCCATGGCAGACATGAAGGCGATCCACAAGCCAGGTGCAGCCCCTCCAGGCCCGCTGCACCGCCAGCTCTCGAGGATGATCAACGAGATCTGAGTGCTTCGCCGACGGCTGGCCCACGTCTATCTACATCGGGGAGTCAGGCCGATAACGGCGAAGAGGTTGGGTATCGTGGGCCTGGCCAGTGCATCTTTTCAGTGAGGAACTCGGGTTCTGAGTTGGTGACGCCCGCGGCCCAGAATTTGTTGGTGAGTCCGACGGGATTCGATTGGCGTCGAAGCGAGAGATTTAGGGCCTTACAGGCTGCAGGCCATCTCCCGCCGAGACCCCCTCCCCGTCCTCTTTCTGTCCCGACGTTAACTCTCCCTCGACAGGCGCCTCGTGGGCGCGGTAGGGGCTCCAGTGGGAAAGGTAGGTCTCAGCCCCCTCGGAGGCCCCCCTCGAGGCCGAATGCCTCTGGGCGGGGGGTTGCCTCCTCACGGGGCGGTGCGTCAGGCAGTGGTGCCTGATCGAGGGGGACGGGGGGGCCAGCAAGGTGGTTCTGGCCCTGGTGGCTCCACCGTGTTGGTTCCCTTCCCCCTGGATGTGGGTGCCAGTGCCACGACGTGTGCACGGCTCTCACTTTTAAAAACGGCGGGATTAAGGTTTCGCCCCTCATAATCCAAGCTTTGCTGAATTTTTTGGTCGCGTCGAGGCTAAGCTGACGAGGGATTCCATGAGCTAGTCAGTCAGTCAGTCTCCTCCTCCTCATCCCCCTCCTCCTCCTCCTCCTCCGTCTCCTCATCTTCCTCCTCTTCCTCTGCCTTCTCCTCCTCCTCCTCCTCCTCCTTCTCCTCCTCCCTCCTCCTCCTCCTCTTCCTCCTCCCCCTCCTCCTCCCCCTCCTCCTCCTCCTCCTCCTCCTCCTCCTCCTCCTCCTCCTCCTTCTGTGTGTTTTCTCTCTCTCTCTCTCTCTCCCTCTCTCTCTATCGTTCTCCTTCTCTCTCTCTGTCTCTTTCTCTGTTTCGTTATCTCGCCCTTCCTCTGACTTTCTTCTGGCCATAGGACGGAGACAGGAAACCCGTCGTGGACCAATCACAACGGATAGAGCTTTGGACACCTCGAGTCTGGCCTACCCGGAACAGCTCGGGCGAACGCGGCGTTCTGTTGGGGGAACCGATGCAATAACTGAGCATGATGGGCAGCACGATCTTTGTCACCGAAATGGTGTCATGCCGTCAACGGGAATAGCGGAAGGAAAGACGACATAAACATAAACTTTCGGAGGTCCGCGAGGATTTCTTGCATCGGCCCTGGGCTCCCCTGGCGGCGCCTCCGGCGCCGACCCTGGCTCGCTCCGCGCGCCAGGAAGGGGGACCCAGTGCCGATCGAAGGAAAGCGCACAGAGTGCATGTTTATGCAAATGTCGCCGCGTCGTTTGTTCTCGACGCGCCCAAGTGGACGACGCCGACACCATGGCAAACCCACGGCAAACCCTGCGCACCGCGCCCCAGCAGACGACTCTGGCGTCGCGGCAAACCCGCCGCGCCCGAGGCGGACTTTGCCCTTGTGGCCGAGGCGCCCTCTCAAATACGCAAGGCCGCGCGTCGGAACAAACGGCGCGGCGACAAATGTTTGTTACTCTGTGCTCTATGGGCCATGGGCGTATCTATGGGCCATGGACGGATCTCAACATCGTTAGACCTATCCCCGTGCCAATTGGACAAGCCTTGGCCCCGCTGTCCGACTGACCCCTTCCATTGGGATAGATGCCGTCCGCATCGGGGTCCGCGGCATCCGCCCCCATCTCGAGGGGGTGGGCCGGTGGCGCAAAGGAATCCTGGGCAACTGGGGATGGGGTTGGCGGCACGCACATGGGGGTAGGGGGAGGGGGGAAAGCTTCTTAGAAGGAGGCTGCTTCTTAGAAGGCGCCGGCCCTACATCTACAAACAAGGCCCGCGCCCTCTAAGAAGCAGGGGTGTTTCTAAGAAGCCTTCCTCGCTCCCCCTACCCCCCCTGCGCGTGGCCGAGAAGAGATCACAACGGGAGATTTCGGGCAATTTTCGCCTTCTGGGGGCCCTCGCCATCGTTTGACCTATCCCCGTGCCAACTGGAAGAGCCTTGGCCCTGCTGTCCGACCAACTCCTTCCGTCGGAATAGATGCCGTCCCCATCGCCGTCCGCGGTATCCACCCCCACCTGGAGGGGGTGGGTTCCCAGACAAACTCGCGCCGTGAAAAAATCAGGACGGGCGGTTGTTCGCCGTTTTCGGCCTCTCGGGGCCCTCGCTGGGCCCCGGGACCGCCAAAAACTACCCCGTGTGAAAAGCCGGCCCTGGGGAGCGTGTCGGGACTTCAAGGCACCGCGCACTGCAGACCCCCGACGTCGTGATTTTTTCACAACGTGGACCCCCAGAGGTCTGGACGATTTCTCCGGGACCAGATTTTCGTCCTGAATCGTTTACTGACGGTCCAGAGGCCTGGTAAAGGCCCCTGGAGGTCGAAAATAGCAAAAAATCTCCCGTCGTGATTTTTTCACAACGGGAGGGGGCCTGGGACTGCAGAACACACAAAACGCGGCACCGCATGCCTGGAAAGACCACGGCCGCGTCAGCGCAGGACGGCCGCCCAACCACTCCGGTTGACAATCTCCGCGCCGTGAGTGCCCGCCTCCCTCTTCCGCGTCCGCGGCCCCCCAAGCGGTGTAGCGGTGTGGCGACCACACCGTGTGGCGAGTCGGTGGGGATTCGGGGTCACCGCACGGCTTTGGGACTCGAGTCCCTCTCCGAGGATGTCTCGGGCGACAGGGGCCTCCAGGGTCCCAAGACCGTGCGGTGAGATCTCTTGGGGTTCCGAGGTCACCGCTCGGTCTGTCACCGCACGGTTCTGGGATCCCCAATCCACCCAGGTGCTCCTCTTGCCGCCGGACAACTCGTGCCTGCCACTGCCTGGCTCACTAGAGAGCGCGCGCGCGGATGGCCTCCGCCGCACGGCGACGCAGAAACGTCCAGAAAGACCACTCTGCTTGCTGCGGGGAGGTCTCCCAGGGCTTCCCAGACTTCCCAGCAGTCCCTGGACTTCAACTTCAACGACGACGACGACGACGACGACGACGACGACGACGACGTCCTCCCTGCCCCACAAGACTTCCCAGAGAAGTCCCTGGTGGCCTGCTCAGGCCCCCTGGGAGGCCGAAAAATCAAGGCCTCAACTTAAGCGGCCTCAAAGACATCGGCCCTCTCGGCCCAGGACGGCCGCGCCGGCGCGGCCAAAGTACCGAGAGGACCCGCGCTCCAAGACGTCTTGGAGCGCGGGTCCTCTCGGTGAGGATAGAATCGGGTGAGGATAAGTCGAAAATCTCTGAGATCCAGCGACTCTGGACGATGTCTCGGGCGCCGCGGCCTTCTCAAAGCGTTCCGGAGCGCTCTGAGAGCGTTCCGGATCGCTCTGGAACGGATTCATCCTCGTCCCAGCCCCGTCCGATGCTCCCTTCTCCAGCAGCCTGAGCCCCGAATCATTATAGGGCTGGGGGCGGCCAGAAGTAACTACAGATTCGCGCCTCGGGGGCTCAAACCGGAGTTAGCCTGGACTGCAGCTATCACGGAAAATTCGGGCGTCCGAAGCAGGCCCAGGCAACCTTCGAGGCCATCGATCCCACTCGGCGTCTGGCCCCTCGGCCGCGGCGCAGCATCGCATCGCCGTGATGGCACGCAGGGCCAGCGGGTGGTTCGGCTCCAGTCAGGGTCCATAGTAGGGGTGCAAGGCAGGGATGCAGGACCCTTGGACGTCGTATTCACCATTGAGAGCTCCTTGGACGCTGACGTTGGCTCGGGATAGGCCGAAGAAGCAGGGATGCAAGGCTGGCCTTGGCGAAGCAGCGCATCCTCACTACGGATATTGACTGCGCACGCAGGTGCGAGCTCTGGGCAAGCGTGACCTCTGGTGCGCGGCTTCAGGGACGCGCGAAGGGTCCATCCCGAGGCGTACAAGCCGCTGATGCTAGGTCGGGCCTGTCCCCGCACGGGAGTTTTGGAAGAAAAAATAGTCACACAATACCCCAAAATGGTTTGAAAACATTTTTTTATCGTCCCTTGACTATTTTTGGACTATTTTTGAATATTCCCCATGTAGAGGGACAGGCCCGACTTAACGCTGATGTCGCATCGCTCTCGGCTACCGGGCGGGCCCATTTTCTGCACCAGAGCGGACATACTGGAGCGAGAGTGGCAGCCAAAGGAGGGGGAGGCCGATCGGGGGACCCCACTGGAACCGCTCCAAAGGTCACTCCGGCGAAGGGTAACACCCCTATGATCCAACGCGTTGCGAAAGACACAACATCGCAAAGAAAAAATAAGACTGGAGTCCTGGAACCCATCTTCCTGCACCATTTTGCGAACTGGATCGACCTGTGATGGTTCCAGGGCCCCGAACCCGCCGAAAACGAGTGGTGTAACAAAATTGCAAAGCCGAGATCTCAGGCCTCAGAATGGGTCCCTGGACCCCTCCCGGGATCCAAACGCACAAGTTTTCCGAGCTGCGTCCAGCCGTGGCGACGAAGGCCCCCCACAGCCCAAACTGACTAACGCTGTCTCAACTCGCCCTCTTCCCCTCGATCTGCACCTCCCGCGCCTTCCGCGAAGAAGGTGCCGCCGCGATGCGGCCGCGGCGGCCGCCGCTGCGGCCTCGATGGTGGCTGCCGCTGTGGCCGCGGCGGCGGCCACAGCAGCGCGGCACCTGCTGCGCGGAGGGTGCGGGAGGTGCAGGTCGAGGCCCCCGGGCAGGTGGTGCAGCCGTCGGCGCCGCCCGGTCCTGGGGACGGCACCAGGCCCCGCGAGCGCGCGCCGAGGGGCGCCGACGCGGAGGAGGCCGCCGAGGCGGGCGCCGTCGACAGCGGCGCCAGCCTCGCCGCGGCGCGCGGCGACGGCTCCTGCAGCGGCGCCCTCCGCGGCGATGGGCCTGCGCGCGGCAGGCGCACGAGCCGGCGCGCGCAGTCGCCGCAGTTGCCGCCGCCACCGCGGCCGTCGCCGTCGTGGTCGCCGCCGCCGTGGTTGCCGCCGTCGCCGCCACCGCCACCGTCGCCGCCGCCGCCGTCGCCGCCGCCGTCGCCGCCGCCGTGGTTGC